ACCTCTGACAGTGGAACCAGTATTTATCCCTAGAGCACTTTGGGAGCCCATTCCCCATGGAGGGTTACTGTTTCAGCCCAGATACACGGAGGAGGGCCTAGCCCATCCCCCAAATGATGATTCCCCCCATGGAAGGCCTCGCTATCCTTGGGAAGTGGGTGGGGGGCATGGGAAGATGTGAGGGAGAACAGAAAACTTGGGTGATGGTATATGTCAGTCTGTCAATGTGTTTCTCTTATTAGTAAAGCACCGTTGGCCTATAAGGGAGCAAGGTAGGCGGGACTAACAATGGCCCCGAAGTTCTGGAGCTGCAGCAAAGACTATGGACAACTGTCCTGAGCCAATCACAGTCTCCCTTGGTTCTGTGGCCCTCCCACCATATCCCATTGAGGGGATGCAAACTGGTACAACCACCTTTGTTTGTTTGTTTGTTTGTTTGTTTATTTATTTATTTATTTATTTGGTGAGTCCATTTAAAAAAAAAGAATCAGTGTGGGGGGGAGGGGGTCCCTCAAAAGGCTACTCTAGATATACCATATGACCTGGGATTCCACTCCTATAAATACACAGAAGTCCACACCCACTCTAGAGACATCTGCTAATACATGTTCATTGTTTTTATATGTACGGTGGCCAGGAAAGAGAAATACCCTAGACTTGCATCAACTGGTGAGTGAATAATAAAACTGTTACAGTCGTGTGTTATTCAGATACCGAGAAAAATGAAACTATGGAATTCGCAACTAAACAGAAGGAGCTAGAATAAGGGCAACCCATACCAATGAAGACAAACATCACATGTTTTCTGGCACTGTGGAGGTTGCTGTTAAATCTTCAAATATGTGTTTCAGTTATAATACCCACAGAGAGGGGAAATCGAATGCACAGATACAAAGGGGGAAAATGGACCGAGGAGGGTTAAACTGGAATGGGTGGGTGAAGGTAGGGTAGGGAAGGGGGAAGGGAAAGAGATAAATAAAACAAAAGGTCTTTTGAAAAAGACATGGAAATTTACTACGCTTTAATATCACAAATATTGCATACACTCACACACACAGACACAAACACGCTCTAGAAAGGACAACATAGAGGAGAAAGAGATACAGAATTAACACGGAGGTTTTCTGAAACAGAACAATAATGCTCCTAACAAATAAAATTCTGTGCCATGTATAAGTGACTTCTTCGGAGTCCTGGCCAATCACGTCCCCAAAATCCCTCAGACGTTACACTGTATTGCTATTGCTCTTAGTTATCCTCAAGAACTTGATGGTTAGACTCTGTTGCTGAAGACACCACACGCTTGAGTCACACAGCATGGCAAAATCAAAGTGGAAAAGAAGCAGTTGCTTTCATAGTGCTGGAGGGGTGCTATGCAAGCTAGCGAAGGAGGCAGGTGATCATCAGTCATGCCCAACTACAAATATCCCAAGCTACAGTAAGAACTGACTGGCAAAACCTGGACACTGGCAAAAATATTAACGGGAGAAAGCAACCACTTCCCGATTACATCCAAGCGCCTCTCTACAGGTTGGAGGGGGAAAAAAAAATCTGCACCATTATCAGACTAAGAACTTAAGGACAGACGGGTCATGGGGCTTAGGGAAGATGCATGACTATTATGCTGCTAAGTTGACATAGAATTAAGCTGACTTAAAATAACTCACCATTATATCCATAGATCAGTGAAGTTCCCATCCCTCAACTTAGATGCTTCTAATTCAAGTAGATTGTGATTGACACGCTGATACTTATCTGGCCAAGGTGTAAAGATTAAGTGACTGGGAATTCAAAGTCTTGAAGCAACAAATATAGCTCAATCCCCGCCTAAGTCTCGGGGACCGTGTGGGAAATGCGGCAGGAAGAGCATAAAGCAAAGAGGTATGCTGTTCTTGCATACCAGTCCCGTAAGGCTGGTCCTTAGTGCTGCAACGTATCTCCTCCCTTCCTCCTACCTGCGTCTCCCATTTACGTTCTGAAGTTCAGCTTGCCCTCCAGCAACAAAAACCAGTTGCCCTAACGAACTCCTACACGTTTTCACTCTCGCGCTTCCTAACCTGTAAGTGTTCTTTTTAATTTGCACATTTATTCACATGAAGGTACGCACAGGGTGCAACGTTCATGAGGGGCCAGAGAATAACCCGGAGTGTCATCCTGAGATTTTATATAGGAATAAAGAACAAAGTGTATGATACCTGGAGCAGATCCTATCCGCATCCAAAGCATCCTTCTCTGCTTTATACCTCTGGACGGAATCATCAGGCTTGGTTAAAAGCCAAGCGTAAGAAAAGACAAGTTCTAGATGCTTTCATGACCAAATATTCCAAAGTCTTGGGGAAAGGAACAAATTGTTTGAAAAAGAATAAACTATTTGTGACGGCAAATTCCTAACTCATGGTCCTTGCCCTGGTTGGCTTTTATTCAACATGACACAAACTGAGGTTATTTGGGAAGAGGAACTTCAATTATAGAGTATTTTCTTGATTAATGATTTGTGAGGGAGGGCCAGCCCATTGTTGAGTTGTACTATTTCTGAACAGGGGGTACACCAGCATGTAAGAAAGCAAACAGAATTTTTAGATGCCTGTTGCTTTTCTAATGAGAGGGAGAGAAAAAGGGTGTGTGTGTGTGTGTGTGTGTGTGTGTGTGTGTGTGTGTGTGTAAATTTGGATGGGAGGGGAAGATCTGGAAGAATTAGGGACGGGAACCATAATCAAAATGTACAGTATGGAAATCTATTTTCAATTTAAAAAGGAAAGAAAGGAACAAAGGAAGAACAATGAACAAGCCAGGAAGCAGTATTCCTCCAGGGTCTCTATGTGAGTTCCTGTCTCTAGGCTTGAACTCCCGAACAACGTGCCTGCATGAGGGAATGTTAACTGCACCTATAAGCCAAATACATCTTTTCCTCCTCCAGACTGGAAGGGCTGTCTTCCCAGCCCTGGGCAGCAGAGGCAGGATTTGGTGTTCAATGCCATTCCTGATTCCATAGCACAAGGCAAGCTTACGGTACAGGACACATTGCTCTAAGCAGAAATAAATAATCAACAGCACTTGACAGAAAAGGAATAAAACTAGTAATGATGTAGGCACACTGGAGAACAGAAACAAATAAGATCAACAATGTACATAAAGCAAGTGTTAAAAAATGATACCTATAAGTGACTTCTAAATGATAAAAATAATGTATTTTTAAGATTAATATTCTTAGCATTATTGACTTTGAAGATGGCAGGCCCTTCTCTAACAGATGGAAGGCCAGTAATAAGAGACTGATTGACCTTACCCATATGCACATGTTGGCTCCTGTACACACAGAATTGCAGTCAAGAACCTGGCTCTCAAACCTCTCGGCCGACCTAAATGTGTCAAGCAGGATTGAACATAATTGCACAGGGGAGTTCCCTAATTGGAAATTCAATATTCATTGGCTCAAGGTAACTTTCTCATATTGTACACGCACCAGTCTGGTCTGTCATCATTCACATGACATGAATTATTGATGCTGGGAAATTACAAATTAACTCCTTCTACACGACTAAGTCCTTTTTCATACGGTGACTCCAGCAGCTGACAGCCTTCCATGTTTCCCCTGCAATGTACACAATAAACTATTCCTCCTACTCTGGTCTGGAGGCAGAAGCCATGCTCCAGGTTACACTCTGAACGATTTAAACAGGGAAAGGAGACTGCAAGTCTACCTAAGCCACTTAGGCAGACGGGAGAAGCCATTCTTCAGGGACAGGGTCCTGCGGTCAAGGTGCCAAGGAATAAGAAAGATAGAAGAGATAAAAGCTGGCGTGGGAAGGTCTTGCACAAGCTGTCTCGCGCCAAGTTAGCTTCTTAGGAAGAACGGCTTCTTGTATACTACTTCCAGGGGGGGGAATGGAAGGAAATGGGGAATTTCTATGAAGTCAGCAAAAAGCTATCACACCGTGGGACAAATTCAGGAGGCGGCTAATCAAAGAATGTTGCACAAAGGGCACATGGGGTGTCTCGAGAGCATCACTAAGCCCACAGTGGCCTTGGGACTGATAACCATAGCTCTATGTGGTGGGAAAGGTTGGGTTTTCAGGATCACAAGCAACCCCTCTAGAAAGGCCCTGGGCCATTACCAGCTCTATATAACTGATTTTAGGGAAGGAGCTCTGTTTTGTTCTCACTACATCCAGGCCTTAGTGAAAGCTCCCAGGCCTAGGCCCCAGGCTATTAATCACTCTCACAAGGATATTCTCTTCCCTGCCTGAGGGCCTATATAAGCCTTGCTTGGCCCTACCAGTCCTTAACACTGTCTTACTTTTCAAATACTTGTCACCAGGTGTCATATTTATTGCCCATCTCTCAGAACTATCCTTTTCTCAAGATGAAACCTGGGACTTCAGGCCTTAAGGTAGTTTGTGACCCTGTAATGCCTCCTTAAGCAGCTTGTTAGAGGACTGTTCTTACACACAGGGATGGCCCTAGTGGTTGGTTGTAATTTAGGGGTGTCTTCTTTGTAATGGTTTGGAGCCAAATGTCTGGCCAATCCTGGTGGGGAAAAAAAAAATGCATATCGTAGCATCCTTATCTCTACCAGGCCTGGCCAGCACACACTTATCTTTGGGGTGTTTTAGAAGCAGTCCCTCCTTAGCTAAACTCTACTCTGTGAGGCTTACATCTACTAAGAATTCTTTATATCACCAATTCTGCTCTTCCACATCACAGCTGTAGTGGAGCGCTACCCAACACAACAGCTGCCTGTTACAACCTCCACAAAAATAACTGAAAATGGATCTTATACGTAAAGGTCAATTAAATGCAAAGTGCTGAATGTCTGGAAGACACTGAGAACGTAGGCCTCTCCTCCAAGTCTGGCAACCTGCCTTGCAAATATGCACCAAAAGCACATTCCTGCTTGCTATAAATATGTTTCTTCACACAGTTCCCTGCTCTGAGCAGATGCAAAGTTATTTAGAGGCCCGTGCCTGGGTCCAGGGAGTAGCACCGGCCTGGGAACTCACGGACTGACGTGCAATCTGGCCAGATTCCCACGCAGTCCCGGGAGGACCCACCACACAGGCTCTCACACCTCCCCATCCACTCTGCCACATCTGCGCACAGCAGTCCCTCGCTCACCACGCCGTTGCCTCCCAGCTCGCCCATGGTCCCCTCACGGCTCCCTGCAGCAGCAGCAGCAGCAGCACCGGTAACACAGAACTCGAAAACGGTGGCGCCGCTGGCTGCTTTGCAAAGCCAAGCCTGCAACCTGGCTCCCGGAAGTGCCCTGAGCCGCCTCTGACTGACAGTTCAGTCTGGAGGCCCTGATTGGCTAGTGATGAGAGCACCTCCCTTAGGATTACAGTGTGCTTAAAGGCACAGCACAGAGATGCCTGACATTGCCTTCTTCCCCAGATCCATACCTTTTCCAGAGCTGCAGAAATATGCATTTTAACAGCACTTGCCCCTGACTCCAAATGCTGACCCTGCTATCTTCCTGAACTCCATAGGCACTGAAAGACCCCCACTATGCTTATTGCCTGTTTAAATTGCTCTTGCTAATTTGCCAAGGTCAAGTTATGAGAAAAGTACAGGAGGGAACCAGGTGCTGCTCTCATCCAACGCCAACCAGATATCTGTGGTCTGCAGCTTGGACCAAAGCAAGGTCAGCAGGACAGTGTCCAGTATGCTGAGATAGACATAACTGAATTCTTTGTATTCTTTGTGCCCAACCCGAATAACCAACTGTCCTTGGTTAACTACAACTGCTACATTTAGATGAAACAATGAAGTCCCTGTAACCATGCTTCTGCTTCTGTAAGCCTGCTTCTTGCCACACCAACCTTATATAAACTGCATATGCTTTAACCAGGCACGCTCTCTCAGTCTCTCAAAAGACTGGGGCGTCCATAGGTACCTGTGTGTAAACAATAAATAACCTCTTGCACTTGCATCCAGTGGTCCGGTCTCGTCTCTTGGGGGCAAGGGCCTTCCCCCTGACAGGCTCCAAACTCTTGGGGTCTCTGGGGGTCTTTCAGGCACTTCCCATTCTTCCCCCCTCCCCCGGACACATTGTGAGTAGCTTGCAACAGCCCTTTCTTCAATGTGATTTCCTGTTCCACGGGCGGAAGGGTGCCCAGTATAATCACAGTTTCCAGGAGAGATTTAAGGATACAAAACAAATGTTTGTTCTCTGGCTTCACGCTTAGGTCAGGTGAACTGAAAGTACTTTTTTTTTTATATATATACCTGTGAGTCGCAGGTTAAAAAAATAATAAAAAAAAAATGCAGGAACCATATAAAAAAACATAATGATAGATCTGGCCTCCACCAGAAGGTTGGATGATGGGTCCATTGCATTCGAAGTTTTCTTCCGGAATTCAGAGCAATCTCCTGTCAAATTGAAAGACCCCCACTATGCTTATTGCCTGTTTAAATTGCTCTTGCTAATTTGCCAAGGCCAAACTATGAGAAAAGTACAGGAGGGAACCAGGTGCTGCTCTCATCCAACGCCAACCAGATATCTGTGGTCTGCAGCTTGGACCAAAGCAAGGTCAGCAGGACAGTGTCCAGTATGCTGAGATAGTCATAACTGAATTCTTTGTATTCTTTGTGCCCAACCCGAATAACCAACTGTCCTTGGTTAACTACAACTGCAACATTTAGATGAAACAATGAAATCCCTGTAACCATGCTTCTGCTTCTGTAAGCCTGCTTCTTGCCACCCCAACCCTATATAAACTGCCTGAGTTTTAACCTCAGCACGCTCAGTCCCCCGAAAGACTGGAAGCGTCCACAGGTACCTGTGTAAACAATAAACAACCTCTTGCACTTGCATCCAGTGGTCTGGTCTCATCTCTTGGGGGCAAGGGCCTTCCCCCTGACAGGCTCCAAACTCTTGGGGTCTCTGGGGGTCTTTCATTGGAGGTTCCACCGAGATTGGAGACCCTTCCCCCTAGAGACTGACACTGACACCCACCGGGAGGTAAGCTGGCCAGCGCTTAATTTCTGTTCTTTGTTGTCTTGTTCATATGTCTTTTACTTGTTGCTTGTTGCGCAGCGATCGGTAATCGGCTAGGCTAGTCGAGTCTGTAGGCGGCTTGAGAAGGAGCTGACGAGCTCGGACTTCTACCCGCCACCCTGGGAGACGTCTCAGGGATCTGGGGTGCCCGATTTTTCGGGGCCCACACGAGTCCCAGGGATTCGTGGTTTTGGGGGGCCCAGGGGGCTTAAGACCCTCTGTGCCTCCAACTCAGTATCTGGTTTCGGTTTTACGCCGAAAACGCGCAGCGTGTCCTTATGCCGGCTGTCTATGTGTTTTGTCTGTTCTGTTTATCTGTCTGATTCTTTATTTCGAAGAAAATATGAAACAATCTTTAACCACCCCCTTAAGTTTATTTTAGATCATTGATGATGTACAGAGTCGAGCTCACAATCAGTTGGTTAAAGGAAAAAAAACTGTGTCGGACTCCCCGGTAGCCAGCTGACTCTGAGATCAAAGGGAGCCAGCCACCGAAGGAACCTGCTGAGCCTTTCCCCTGCACCAGGCTGCTGGATTAGGAGGCCAATTTCAATTTCAATACTGGTCTTTCTCGGCGTCCAACCTTTATAATTGAAAAATCTAACAACCCCTCCTTCTCCAAAGACCCTGTAGCTCTCTAACCTACTTGAATATGGCTTTTGCAGGTCCTCCTAACCTTGGGGGGGGGGGAAACAACGCATCTTCCTGGGAGAAACGTCTTATTTGGCAACTCAGTTGCCAAATAAAATTGAGGAAATTTTTCCCCTAAATCGTCCCTGCTGGGACTTTAACACCTACGTCTTTATCGCCAGTTACTCACAGCGGGTCTCCGCGGGCCTGGGACGCTGTCCCAGGAATTTGGCTCAGGTAAGACAGATAACCCAGGGACCGGAGGAAACTCCGACTGCATTTTTGGAGAGGCTAAAGGAAGCCTACCGTATGTATACACCCTTTGATTCTGATAGTAACGAGCAAAGGGGCAATGTTTCTATGGCTTTCATTTGGCAGTCGGCTCCAGATATTAGGACTAAGTTGCAGAGATTAAATAATTTATAAGATTATAGCCTGCAGGATCTCGTAAAGGAAGCAGAAAAGATCTTTAAAAAGAGAGAAACACCTGAGAAAAAAGAAGAAAGACTTAAAAAGTTGCAGGAGGAAAGAGAGGACAAGTTTAAAAAGGAGCTAAAAAAAAGAGAGAGAGAGAGAGAGAGAGAGAGAGAGACAGAGAGAGGGATCATAGGAACCGGAGAGAATTAAGCAAAATCCTGGCCACTGTAGCTCAGAATAATCATAGTGCAGGAAGTCAGGAAAGAAAGGAAAAGGAAGGAGGCCCAGGGTAGATTGAGACCAGTGTGCCTACTGCAAAGAAAAAGGCCATTGGGTCAAAGATTGCCCTAAGAGACCTAAAACTCAGAGGCGTGGAGACGGACTCCCAAGACCAACTCAGCTTCTAGCCCTAGATGAAGACTAGGGCAGTCGGGGCCAGGAGCCCCCCCCCCTGAGCCCAGGCTAACCTTAAGAGTCGGGGGGCAGCCAGTCACCTTCTTGGTGGACACTGGAGCCCAACATTCAGTTCTCACTGAAACGAACGGGCCATTGAGTACCAAAACAGCTTGGGTACAAGGAGCCACCGGAGAAAAACAATACCGATGGACCACGGAGAAAAAGTTCATCTCGCATCAGGTAAAGTCTCACATTCCTTTTTGCATGTACCGGACTGTTCATATCCATTACTGGGTCGAGATCTACTGACTAAATTAAAAGCCCAGATCCATTTTGAAGGACCAGGAGCTAAAGTCTCTGGCCCACAAGGGGCTCCACTTGAAATATTGACTTTACAATTGGAAAATGAATATAGACTTTTTGAAAAGCCTCCTGAACAGCAGGAAGGGATGGACTTATGGTTAAAACAACACCCCCTGGCCTGGGCAGAAACAGGGGGCATGGGCTGGCCATACAACAGCCACCCCTAATAATAACCCTGAACCCAGCCACCTTGTTACCACTGCTGGAGGAACCAGCCTCCCATGACTGTCAGCAGATCCTTGCAGAGATGCATGGAATGTGGCCTGATCTGACCGATCAGCCCTTGAAAGATGCAGACTACACCTGGTTCACAGACAGCAGCAGCTACTTGCTAAATGGTGAGAGGCGGGCAGGGGCTGCAGTGACGAATGCCTCAGAGGTCATATGGGCCACTGCACTCCCCGGAGGCACCTCTGCTCAGCGAGCTGAACCCTTTGCTCTGACTCAGGCTCTCCAGATAGCAGCAGGTAAGAAGCTAAATGTGTACACTGATAGCCGGTATGCCTTTGCCACTGCCCATGTCCATGGAGAAATTTATCGGAGAAGGGGCCTTTTAACATCAGAAGGCAAAGAAATCAAAAATAAAAATAAAATCTTGACATTATTAAAGGCCCTGTTCCTTCCTAAAAAAATTGAGCATAATGCATTGCTCTGGACATCAAAAGGGGAAAGCCTGGAGGCAAAAGGAAATCGCCTGGCTGATGAAGCAGCCAAACAAGCAGCCTTAAGCCCCCAACTATTGACTATTAGCATATTGACTGAAAAGGAAACAGCTAAGACTCCAGATTGGGACTATGATGAAACGGATTTGGACATTGTTCAGAAACTAGGTGCAGATTATGACCCCAATCGGCAATGCTGGGTCTACCAAGGAAAGACTATACTGCCTATAAAAATGACAAAAATGTTAATAGACCACCTCCATAAGCTGACTCATCTAAGCGCCAAAAATATGAAAACTTTGCTAGATAGACAAGAAATTGGAACTTACCTTCCCAATCGGAATTTATTACTGGAACAAGTAACTGCTAACTGTCTGGCCTGTGCCCAGATAAACCAAGGAAAACCAAACTGAATTCTGGGACCCGGCTTTGTGGCCATAGGCCTGATGTCCATTGAAAAATAGACTTTACTGAAGTCAAACCTGAAATATATGGTTATAAATATTTACTGGTTTTTATAGACACCTTTTCAGGATGGGTGAAAGCGTTTCCTACCAAACATGAGACTGCAAAAATGGTCACCAAGAAACTATTAAAAGAAATCTTTCCCAGATATGGGATGCCACAGATAACAGAATCAGACAATGGGCCTGCCTTCATCTCCCAGGTAAGTCAGT